CCATGCAGAAACTCCATTTGAAAACTAAATTGGTAGCCTGCAATAAGCAATAGGACTTGACCCTGGAGATGACTTTTTGATTTCTCTGTATATCTCTTTTGACATGGGATACCATTGCATCTCTCACTTTAGTCAATTTTGTTGTGCACTGATGTTTTGGACACTGAATTCCTTTATTTTTAATTAAACAACATCCTACCTCATCCCTCCTCCCCCCTTTCCCTTGGCGTGCATACAGACGTAAAATACACCCTTGTCAGTAAGTGTGTGTGTTTCCTCAGACTGCCTTATGTGCCTCAGTCCTGAATTGGAGGGCTTTTTTTTTTTTGAAGCTAAGAAGGTTTCATTGTATTTTTACTGTAGCAGTAGGGGTGTGTGTGTATGTGTTAAGGTTTGCAACATGCTCTTATTAAAAGGAATTTGCTTGAGCAAAGAGCGAGCACAGCCTGGCTGTACGCACAGAACCAATCAGAAAGACTTCCACCTCAATCTGACAGAGATGTGCCGGTAAAGGTTGCTGATGGTGGTGGTTGTGGAGGCTGTGTGTCTAGGTTAGGGATTTTGGCTGTAGCTATGTTGGTCTAAGGACATAGGCAGGCATGGTTCTATGGGTAGATCTTTTATTCGGCCAACTGAGTAGTTGGAAAAAAGTTCTTAGCAAACTTCCTGCCTAGGTCAGGGATGGCCAACCTGCACCAGAAGTGCCGCAAGTGGCACATAGCAGGTTGGGGAGAGAAGGCAGGTAGCAGAAACCAAAGTATCAGATCAGGCAGGGAGCATAGGAAAGAAAGTGAACATCCGATTGGGGTGGGGGAGGTAGGGTGGGGATGAGACTTCAGGAGGATGCGGAGATAAGTTGTGGCACACCTGCCACAAAGTTGGCTCCCACTGATCTAGGTAAATTGTGCTCGTGTTAAGGTTTTGGTAAAACTGCTAGATGTCCCACTTATTTGTTACAGTACAGAATTATAAGTTCTTTTTTCAACAAGCATTACTGCTCCTGGAGATTAGTAAAATAAACTTCAGTATTTTTTTAATACACTCTTACTGTGATTTAGATGCAAAAAAGCTTATTAGAATGTAAGCAATCAGGCAGTAGGGCAACGTTTGATTTCCATGCAGTTCGTGCACTGGGGATTAGTGACTGTTTCCCAATGGAGATAAGGTTTCTGAGAATCTTATTTTTGAAATTATGGGAGGATTGGGGTGTGGGCACATCTAATTGCTTGGAGTTCATCTCTTTTGCATTAACTAATCTTAAGGCTAAAAACTTGCCTGCATTTTAATACCTGTCTATATTTGTGAAAACGTACACAACTTTAAGGCTTGTCACATATAGAGTGAAAACTGCATCAACGAATAGGCCGTAGCACCTAAGGATAAGAATAAACTGTGAGGAGCGATTCAGTTCAGACTGTAAAGAGTTTTTTTTTTACTTATACCTGAAGCAGCCTTGCCTTCCCTGTGCCCCTTATGACTTTTCAAATTCAAATGTGGATTGTGTGGGTTATTTTTTTTTTTTGTCTTCCAGAAGTAACTTCTAAAATAAGAGAGCTTGACAAATTAGATTAGAAGCTGTTTCTAAGGTATTGTGTTTTAAATAATAGGCAAATGTGTAGATCACTTCTCAAGTTGCCTGAGCACTTCACTTTTCCTCCACCACGTTAAGTCATTCCATTACTCCCCCATTTGTTAAAACACTTCGAATATATTCAGCTCCTTTTGAAACCCATAAGAGATGCAAATATTTTGCCAGTGTTTTAAATATCCTATGGGCTTCTGTCTTTTTAAACTTTTTAAACCCCATATAAAGTGCTGTATCTCTGGGGACCAGGGTGAAATTTCCCCTTTGCATGGGCTGGCTACCACTTTGCTAATACAAAATTTCCACTTCTTTTTGCATATTTGGTTAAATACATTCAGCTAGCTGGAGCTTCTAAATGTCCCTGAACCCTCAGCAGACCACCTTGGTTAAAGCAACTGACTCTGATTGCTAAATGGTTCTGACTTATTGCAAAGCTGTCACTGTTAGCTTGGAAACTTAAGAATTTGTACATGCAGCTTTGAGGAATTTATGTTGCCATCGTAGGAGGGCAGGGCATCATAACCTGCTAATTGCTATGGCTGTAAGTTAACGGGGGATGTAATTTGACTTGTACTATGGGAAAATATTTTTTGTGGCAAGAGCAGTGTTATTTTTCCTTGACAGTTTTATTAAACAACAACAGTCTTGTTGGTCTCCCTCTGTGCTCACTGGAGTTGCCTTAGTTGCTCTGTCTGACCTTGACTGGGATTCTTGGTCCTGCCAGCTTTATGCTCTACCTATACCCCTTAATTGTCTAATCCTTTTTCCTATGTGTCCCTGAATTCTTGAGAACAATTTATGGGAGTGATGTAAGATGGTTGTTAAGGGTACATATTTTTTTCTGGTTTTGATTAGCTTTAAGGCCCCTGAAGACATGCAGGTAAGGCATGGTGGGATCTGATGCATGACCCACACACTCACACTTTCTGCCATGACACATGGATGTGGCAGGAGGTGTGATTGTGGGATTACACATCAGATCCCATCACACCTTACTGCTGGTGCAAGGGGAGCCTGGGATCATGATTCCAATCCTGACTTCCCTTGCACTGGCCAGTAGCAGGCTCCTGTGGCTGGGAGCCTCCTCCGCTGATGGTGGAGGCACACCATGCACTCCAGCAGCTGGGAGTCCCATGAGCTGACTCAGGTTCCCAGCCACAGGTGTGCGTGGTGCATCCCCACAACTGGGTACCCGTAGCTGAAGGGGCTCTGAGCCACAGGGGTGCACCTGGCCACACACTGAGTTAATGGCGTAATAAGAATCAGTCAGAAAGTTATATTGCGCACTTTGAATGGAATAACTTTTTGGCTTATTCCTCACTTAATCATGCTATTAACTGATTGACTATGTGGCTGGATTACAATTTAAGACATAATTGACTGATTAATCACTCCTTAAGTGTAATGTGTTGCTGGGGTCTCAGTTAGAGCCAACCATATGCTAGGGTCAGAATTTCTAGAAGAAATCAGATCCTATTTTGGTTATATTTTTAAGTTTCCAGTGTATTGGGAATTGAGCTCTTTTGAAAACGTACATGTAGTTTGTTTAGGTGCCTAAACTATTCCTGTAAACCAGGGTCGCCAACTGTCCATAAATTTATGGACAATCCATAAAAGAAGTGGTTAAAAACCCTTGACCATAAAGTCCATAATAATATGTTGATGTCAATAACATTTATGGACTCTTGGCAACCCTGTTCCTGCTGCCGCTACCCACTTGAACCTCTGGAAATGGAAACACTTTGATATGTCACTTGGGAGATAGGACTCCTCATTGCTCCCTCTTGTGGGGAGTGTGCAGACAAAGGCAGACCTGACTGGCAGGGAGCAAGCATGTCCAGTTACAGGGCGCAGGGCTTGAAGTGTCCCTGTCCTGTACTCAAGTCTCCTAAAGTAGGATGGGGCTACCCCAGAGCAGCAAGCCCTGGTCTCCCTTGCACCCCTGTATTGCATAGGCTGTCTGAAGCATCTTGAGCCTGGTTTTCTCTCTCTGGAACTGGGCTCAGGCACTAGTTTCCTTTGCAGTAGGAGGTTGCTGCCTACATTTTGGTGGAATGGGGCTCCTTCCTTTGATCTGCACATATTGCAACAGCTGCAGGGCAGCCTGGGTCAGAGACTGGGTGCTGGAAGAGCACAGAGGCAACATGCAGGACTCCTGGATTACTTTTACACCAGACCTCTCGGGGGGGCTACAATATGACCAGACCTCTCCATGGATTTGGGGGAGGGGGGTGCATATGTGTCTGTGAATGCATGCGTGTGTGCACACATGTTCGCTAATTTGGATTACATTATATAAAAACACATTAGTAAAAATTCTTATTATTGTGCAGGCCGGGAGCGATCCGGGCCCTTTTTCGCGCCGCACAGGCTGTGGCCAGCAGCCCGGGCACACTGGGTCGGAGAGAACAGGCGACACGCTGGAATTAGGCACGGACGCGTAATGGTTGATTCAAGATGGTTTACTTACACCAAAGATGGTCGCGGTGTAGGCTGTTTCCCAGGCACAGCTCCGCTTAAATCCTCGTTTGAGGACTCAGACAATATTCGGATCACTCCCACGGAGTTGTCGAGGCTCCGTGGATCCTTTTGCACGCAGGGAGAAGGATACGTCAAAGATTGCGAACGGCGACGGGGAGAGGCTAGAGGCTGATCAGACCCCTGTTGCCTGCTTGAAATGCACTGGGTTCAATAGGCTCCGCAGCGCTTAGAGATCTTCACACAGCGTGAAGTCTCCTCCTCCTGGTGTTCGTGGAGTCCTCCAACTTGGGCGGAAACCACTCAAGCCTTTTATACGGCTAGCAAGCCAATCACTAGCCGCCATGTGTGAATAATTTCACGCAAGCCAATAATGGGGCTCGAATTTGAATACGAATGGCGGGAACTCTTTGCAAAGTGCATTTCTGTGCCGCAAAGAAGAAATGCACACTGCAAAGAAAGCTACAAATAGGCGGGAAAATAATTCAGTGGTGCCAAAGTGCACACACAACAAAATCACACCTTTGGATTGTGACAATTATCTATAAGAAGTTTGCAGATTGTCAGTTAAAAAAAAGTCATGGGTGGCAGTTCTGCTGATAACTTCTGAGGTGCTTGCCATTTCAGAGCTCTTTTGAAAATGTGACCCTAGTTCTTGGGGGAAGAGGGGAGTTCTTGGTTTAGAGTTCTAAATGTCTAATGGTGAAGCAGAGAGAGGTAGTTAGCTATGTTAATTTGAACTCAAGCAGAGACAGGGTAGATTTGCACCTTGGAGGCTAACAAAAGCAGGAGGTGCATTGCACAAGCTTTCATTAAGTAGCGGTTTACTTAATCGGATGCAATGAAAGGACTGCAGTTCTCATCCTAAGCACTTGACGATACCTATTATCTATGGCCAAGGTCTGTTACAACTGTATCTACTCTGATCTTGCTGACCATGAGGTAGGTACACCTTGATCTAGACCAGGAATTCCTTCAATTCCAATACAATCCTGAAACTATAGCAACTCCAATCAACAGAGCCAGACTTAGTCTGTGCTTGGACCTGCTTTAATACCAACCCTGAGATATGGACAATAGATTCCCTTTGGTTGTCACCTACAGCTTTCAACTTGAATACCTTTACACATCATTAATGATCTCCAACCCTTCCTGGGAAATGATAACTATCTCAAGGTAGCCATGGGGGACAAGTCTGTCCTGGCACATAGGCAGCCCCCAATGTCACACAGCATTTCTCCAGCACCAGGCTACCTAACTCCTATTCTCACGGAGGCACCAGGCCTTGCCCTGGAACCAGATGCCACCCATGCACTTCATCAATACAGACCGTGTTATTGCTGGATGAAATAACGTAGGTTACAAGGTCCAAGGTTCATCTACCTCCTCCTCTACCATCATATATGCCATCACCCCCTTACAGTGTCCCTCTGCCATTTACATTAAACTGGCAGGGTGACCTCTTTGTTTAAGGAAGATCAAACCCTGATCTGACATCAATACCAGAAGGACACACAAGCCTGCAAAACATTTTAACTTCCTTGGACGTTCCATCACTGACCTCAGAGTAAAACAACAAAACTAAAAATGAACTTAAATGGGAAATTGTGGAACAAGAAATTATTCAAAGACTGGATTGTATTAAGTATGGTCTAAACTGAGAGTAGGAGTTCTTGTCCCATTACCTGGATTAGTTTTTAGAGCCTCTTTTGTCCCCCAGTGGTTTAACTAATTTGTGTTTTTTTTTTTTTTTTTTTCCCCTCTCTCTTACCCACCTTACCTCTCCCAGCAGCAGCCTCTTCTTTTTCCTCCCCCCTTTTCTAGCCTTTGTATTCTAATGGATGCTTTCTATTTAAGGTGCAGACAGAAGTACAGCTCCTAGGCCTAACTCCTGGTGCTTCACAGAAAGCACTGTGTTAGGCCGATCCTCCCGACCCAACAGATGATAACTTTTGAGTTGGGAGGGTGCGTGATCAAGTTCCATTGTAGAGCTGATCCAGGGAGAGAGGCTGTCTCTGTGGCTTCTTCCCCTTGCTCTGATTTCCGCCCCCCTTTCCTAGCTCCCATTCCTCAAATGGGAGGCAGAGAGGGAGATTCTATCTGGGGTTTCCCCATCTGTGCTGGAGTTGGGGGTGGGGATGGAAATGGATTTGAGCCCCCCATCTTGGAGGGGCTGTAATCCATTTATCCCACCCTCCAGTGCCAGCTGGGCAACCTCCAGAACAAGCTCTCTATGCCCTTCCCCCCACTCCCCCATTCTGAAAACGGCTCTGGGAGTAGTGCTGTGCTGTGTCAGCTGAGCCCTGCTCGTGGTGCATGCAAACAGATTGCCTTCATTAACTTCTGCTTTGGAGTGCATTCATCTGAACCCTCACAGTATTGGGCCCCTTTAAGTGCTCTCCAGCCATGCACTTGTTTGGTCGTGGCTGTAGAGTGCTTTCAGGGGCCAGATCAGCTGAAAATTGTCACCTCTGTCTTTGTTTTTAGAAGCTCTGCTGTTTACAGTCCCTTCATAACATCTGATGAGAAAGCATTAGCTTTCGTAAGCAGTAGGCTATGTATTGTATACATGTGTGCAGATCTGCTCTGATGTGCTGGAAATTCAGCTGGAGCATGGAAATTAATGTGCTTTGGCAGCCTTCCACGTCACATGTATTAGCACAGCTCTATGCTGAAAAAATGGCAGCGGGGCAAATAAAACATGTTCGATGAGCTTTAGTTCAAAGCACCCCACCACCATTTTTTCAGCACAGGGATGCTGATGCATGTGACACACAGGTGCTTTTAATTAGAACAGTTCACTAATTAAAGAGCCTGGTGCTGCATCCCACAATGTGTAAAAATGCCCTCTAAATTTTATTTGGCTTATAAGGTGCAAATCTACCCTGCCTAATGGTGAAGCATCCACACTATTTAGAGAGCACACCAAAGAATTTTAATCTTTCTGAAAGATCTACAGCAGTTGCTTCTGTAACTGGATAATGGAAGAACCATTCCCTTAGGGACCCTCCAGTCCCCTGTAAGTGCTAATGATCAATTTTCAAAGAAATTTTCCCCTGCCCCCAAGGTAAAAATATCTACTGAGATTTTATTTCAAGACTCTTTATAAACTTACTAAATCATCGTAAAATACACTGACAATGCTGGAACAAAGTGTTCCATTTCATTTTTGAACTTACAGAAAAAGTTGTAATGGTTGATGAGTCTTCAGCACAGGAACCGATGTGACTAGCACTAAAAAATTCTAGGAACTCCAGGATAAAGCAGAAATGTTGAGCGAAGTAGGATTCTTCAATCTCCTAAAAGTTTCTTCTAAGCATTTTCATAATTTTATATGGCTACATGTCATAAAAAAGGAACAATAGCTTGAACATTCCTGGTAGAAGTTGCAGCGTATCTCTTACACTAGTTTCAAGTGCTTTTTGACTTATTTAAATACAAGGTTGATCCATAGTTCTTGATGAACTGACTCGTGTGTGTGTGTGAACCTCTTATATTCCAGGAGAGTTCATATAAGGCTTACTGTTGAAACTTGTACATCATCAAGTCCTGTCCATAAGCAGGTAAGTTTTTTTTATTTTAAAAGCTATGCATCTCATAAGTTTCCACTTTTGTCTGCTAAATGGAATGTAAAACATCTTCATGTGATGACATAGGCTTTTGGACTCATATCCTTAAGACTATGGATTGCTGTGAGAAGTTTTGTGAAGTTTTCTTGGGCATCTAAAGTATGCTGAAATATATTTTTTTATTAGAAAAATATTCTTAACTTAAATAACTTAATATTCTTAATTCAGTAACCTAAAATTGACATTGTAGATAAGATGACTACATTTGTTCAGTGTCTACCGCCACTCAGTGAAGTGCTCTTATTACCCTTGTAATTGTATTGTACCCCTTTACTTCCCCACCCCCTTTAAAAAAAAAAAACAAAAAAACAACAACCCTTTTTGGGCTTTGTTTTAAGTTCATGTCTACAACCTCTCCCTTCCCCTAACTAACAAACAAAACCCCCAAACCCTAATGAAACCTTCAAGGGGACCATGGTCCCTTTCACTATTTTTATAGCAGGGGTATCAAAATCTATCCAGTCTCTGAGCCAGATTGGGACCAGTCCCCTGTGCTGTGTGCAGCAGCTGCAGTGCTGGGTCCAGTTTGTGTGCTTCATGTTCCAGGGCTTGCCTTACGTGTGGGAAGTGTGCTGAACTTGATCCTGTTCTGCATGGAGAGTCATTCCAGGGCATGAGCTGCATGTGGCATCCTGTCAGACTAGCCCTACATGCTGGCTCTGGGGCTGGTCTGGTGTGGGTCCTCCTAGAGCCAGCACCTAGGGCAAGTCCAGCAGCGTGCTGTATGCAGCCCATGTCTCAGACCCCCTGTGCTACTGCAGTGTCAGGCCCACTCTTCCACTCCATGCAGAGCAAGCCCTGGGGCCCCCACATGCTGCATGTGGTGCATGGGCTGGACTGGCCATACATGCTGTATGCAATACAGGAGGCCAGTATGGGGTGTGTGGTGCATGTGGTGGCCCGCCAGACTGGCCCTGCATACTGGCTCCAGTGCAGCTTGGTCCAGATGGCCCTAGAGCTAGCATACAGGGCTGGTCTAGTGGGATACCGCTTGCAGCCCAAACCCTGGATAGACCACCTGCACTGTCTGCAGCATACATAGCAACTGGTCTAGCCCATGCACTGCATACAGCGTGTGGGGACAGTGTATTGTGTGGGGATGGTCCAGAGACCCACAGGCTGAATTATATGGCTCCATGGGCCAGATCCAGCCCACCGGCCATATGTTTGACCCCCTGCTAAATAAGACTCTAAATAAACTAAATAAACGTATGTTCAGCAAGTAATGGTTAATAGAATTCTACTTTCTGACAGGAACTTATTGTGCGTGTTACAGATGATGCAGATCCACTATTCTTGTATTCTCTTGTAATTGGAGAAGAAGACTTTCAGAGGTAAATATCTATTTGATTTCCTCCTCCTCCCCACCCCCCAATCCTTCAAGGCTCAACAGAACTTGGTGTTTATGTTGTAAATATTGTTGTGAAATATTTTCTGCTGTTTTTGCCTCGCTTGATAGGCTGTAGGCAGGCAAGATTTTTTGAGTAGATGTGATATCTTTTAGTAGAACAACTGAGTAGTTGGAAAAAAACTCTTAGCAAGCTTTTGGGCACAGTCACCCTTCTTTAGGGAGTATCTGCTGGTCTGAGAGTCCCAAGGAGGTTTTTATACAAGTATAATTTTTTTTTTTTTATATAAGTATAAACCTATATAGAGAGGTTTATATAGGCTATAGAGAGGTTCATATAGGCTATATAAACCTTTGCAGTTCATATGAAAGCTGCAGTGTTGTGGCATTTAAAAACATAGGATGGGGAGAGACCTCAGGTCATTATGTCCAGTCTCCTGCTATCACTGGACATTGTCACACTACCTTGCATAAACTGATCAAATTCCTATCTTAAAGCAGTTGGGTTTCTTGCCCCATTGCTGCAATTTGGAGTATTGTGACCGCCCTTCTTTGATCTTCAGGAACCTTTTCCTAATATCCAGCGTAAGCTTATTCATGGTCAGTTCGTACCCATTTATTCTGGGGCAGTAGAACATGAATAATTTCTAGGATCAGGTTCTTTTATTTATGCAAAGATAAGGATTTTTGAACCAACCAGGGGTATTGGACAGCCACAGCAGATAGCTTCATGGCACCACTGAGGTGCCCCAGCTGATAGATGCAGCATCCTTTGAGGTAAAAGCTGCAGCACAGTTAGTTTTGCAGGACTGCTATGGTGCTTTGGCTGCATGTAAAAGCATCAAGCTTTGAAGTAATGGCTATAGCAAATGGCTGTATGACTTAGCCTACAGTTTACAATCTGCTATGAATTAAGCAGGCTGGCTGTGCACCATATGACTGTGAACGTGCCAACATTATCCTTTTGCCTAAATAGTGGTTTTTTGGGGGGGGGTTTCCTGCTTCCTGCCCCCCCCCCCCAATACACTTATATGGTAGCAATCACATTCCATTTGGGCCTTTGCTAGTGTAAACCTGGATTTCTTGGTCTTGTGAGATGGCCTCTCTATTTCTGTTTTCATCCTAGTAGTCTCTCTTTGCACTGAACCATGTTTTGAGTTAATCTTTTATGAACATGGGTGACCGTGTTAATATCTACCTTTCTCTACTGAAAATACACTTTCTGTTATGGCCAAGGATTGCAATTGCCTTTCTTCTATCATTGCCTCCTATTGGTCATTCACAACCATCCTATATTTGTTCTTTTCTGTCACTTTTTCATTAGATGAAATCCTAATTTATGGCAGAAATTCGTATTGGTTATGAAGTGTATAACTTTGCATTCTGTACTTTGAAATGCCATCCATTTCTGTTACTTCAGTTCTCAAGACGTTGTATTGCTTGTATTCTTTTGACTTAATATTGTGACATGGGCTAAGCACTCCTGTAGCCTATCTGCACTGCCTACTTGCCAAGTCCTGGCATGTGTTGTGAAAGTAAGGATGAGGGGAGGGGAATTATAGAAGTTGCCTTAAGGGTCTTCCTCATCCACCCCTCCCTCCCCCCACCCCCGCCCCTGTATCTTGGTCTAGTTCTCTCTATTGATGATCTCAATTTATTTCTGATGAAATTGGTAATCTCATCAAAAAAATTTGTTAGTGTGCTCCTACTATTTGTCCACTAGATGATCCCAAAAACTAACCCCTAAGGAATTGCACTATTAATTTCTCTCCAGCCCAGTTATTTTTTTTTTCCCCTTACATACAGGTAGTAGTTGCCTCCCCTTTTAAGCAGTTCCTTATGTTCTAATTCTTGTACTAATCCCTATCTCTTCTACTTGAATGAGTACAATGTGTAAATGGCAATGCAACATATTAAAGGCTGTTGATTTTTTTTAAAAAAAAAAAAAAAAAAAAAAAAGAATATGTGGTTTTGACTTTAGCTTCTGTTCTGAAAGAGGGTTTTTTGTTTGTTTTTTGCATCTCAGGCATGCATATTAGGAAATCAAGCAATGATCCTGTTGGCCTTTGTTAACCAATGTAAAATTTTTATGAATTATGTTAATGTAGTAAACTGTAGTCCTTGTTAAATATACTTCTTCATGAATTAATGATGTTTTTTCCATTTTTCACTTTATGCTCTTGAGAGAGTCTTGCAAACTCTGAATTGTCCTCACAGAGTGCCTGAAGGTTTTATGCACATGTTCTTGCTGTCTCAGTGCTGAAAGTGAATGGCTGGTAGCTTTTTTTTATTATTCTGTCTTGTTTGATTTGCTCCCCACCTCCCAAATCAAATACCAATTTTGAATGGATACTTTAACTAAAAGGGTTTTTTTGTTCATTTTCAAAGAGATGCTTGTTTCATTAACCTCCAGAGAAGCATCATCATGGACAAAAACGGTCCCCAAGGGAAATGGATAATGACAAAACTTGCTGTCTTTGAATAATGCAGTAAAACACTGCTCCCACTTGGATAGGTTAATTGTTTTACAGACTGACACTGTTTCAGGTATGATATTGTTCTCTTTGACTGTTCTTTACCATGAACGTCCTTTTGTTTCCTCTTACAGTTTAAAGAGCCAGCAAGGACTGCTAGTGGAGTTTTCAGCTTTTCCACAGAAATTCATTGATTTGTTAGAACAGTGCATTTTGGAACAAGGAAAACAAGTCCCTCGGTAAGGCCAGGTTCATCATTTCGTTAGAATTCACCTCTGAAAAGAGCATTCAATAAAAGGAAGTCCTTACTGGTAGCAGCATTTCAGTGACTAGCCCAACAATTCGTAGATCATCTGTAGATGGTAGGATATCATGGTGATAAACAAAATCTTTAGAAATGTCAGAGCAGTTCCTGTGCTTATAGCCCCAAGTTTGAGGAGTTTAACTCTGGTAAGAAAGCCATGTACATATAACTCAGAGAGAAATATTATTCTACCAGTAACTAAAGAAATAAATTTTCTATCCTGACAATACCACCATTCTCTGTATTACTCAGGCCTGCAATATAGGGGACAGTTGTCTCATCTGTCTTCACTGCCTCATGTCCAAATTTTGTGAGACTCTATGTATTTATTTATTTATTTTTTTGACTTGGAAAAGATTGGTCCTTTTCTTAGTCATGTCTTTCAGTATCTTGCCATATCACTTTCCTTTATGATGCATCTTTCTTTCTGGCTTTCCTGCACTTGACATTGCCTTCTGTAGTCCCTACAAAATACTGCAGTTAAAACCATCTTCCTTGTTTTTGGCTTGATCACATGTGCTGTTTACAGATGTGGGGGTGGGTGGGGGGAGGGAAACAGTGCTTTATTTTAAGCTCAGTGTGGGGATGCAATGCATCCTTGTCTTTCTATTGTTACCCCTAACATCTGTATAGCTCAGGCACTTCAACGAGGCTTTTTGGAGTTTTTATCTAATAGCCAATTTCAACTGGCTATTAGATAAGTGTCAAAAAGCTCCGCTGAAGTGTCCAATCCATACAGATGCTGAAGAGCTGGGTTAAACTAACATGCTGCTGCTTCTGGTAGAGAACTGTTTTTGGGTTGAGTTTTTTTTTCACGTCTCTCGGCGCTCATTATTACCTAGTTTCAACCCTTCTTCTTTTCTGCCATTCTCTATTATATGTAAATAGTTCTAACTTATTGAATTCAGTAGGCAGCAATTTTTAATATTTACCTTTTTTTGGTATGACTAGGTTTTTAATTCAACTGGTAACATCTCCTGTTCTGGACTGCATGACAACATGTTTAAATATAGTGGAAACCAATCCATTCAAGCATCTTACTCATTTGTCTCTAAAGCTTTTGCCAGGAAGTGACAGTGACATCAAAAAATATCTTGCCCTCTGCATTCAGAATTTAAAGGTATGATTTAAATCCTCACCTATTAGGCAATGACTGCTATTGGCAAGAACCAATAATAAAATCTAAGTTCCTGATCCCCAAAAGTGCTGGGGAAGTCCATCCTTACTTCCATGAAGAGCCACATAGATTTGTGCTAGTTAATACAATAGCTAGTTCTTACACTTACATTAAATATACACATTATCAATTTATTTTAAGTGTTTGGGCCTGAGTTGTGTGTTTTTGTTTTTTGTTTTTTTTTAATTGCAGAAGTCTGGTGATTCAGGAGAGTTGCTCTTGGCTTTTTTACTAGTTTAAAGATGGGAGTTGGGTCCAGTGTCTGTTAAGTATATTGAGGATGAAATTCCAGTATTTTAACTGGCTGTGTATTTACTGGTTTACTCTTGAAAAGAATAAGAAATAATAGTGGAATTCTTCCATAGGCCTGCCTGGTCTAACCAACATTTTAGCGCATAATTTAGTACTTTCAAAACAACTGAAAACAACTGAGATGCTGAATTTGGTAGAGATGGTTCGTAAGAGTTAAACCTCACAAATCTTCTGTTTCTTAAATCCTGTCTCTTACCTGTATGAAGATCCAATTAAAAATAAATTCTAGATAAATAGAGGTTTGTGCTGTGACAGCAAATAGCCTCCTTTTCAAATCAGGGTTGGTACACACGGATGGTGTACACAGTATGCCATCCCTTTATGGGGGGCTATTTTTTTTCTTTTCTCTCTGCTACTTTAAAGAAAAAGAATCTTTAAGTGGAATGTGAACCTCAGGACCTTTAAGTATCTTGCAAATCATTGTTGATGGAGTCAATTGGAAATTGCATATAATGAGTTCTTTTGCCTTAAAAGAAATTGCAGGAAAGATGTCAAAGGCATGTATATGAAAGACAAAGAACACTCGAGTGCCTGACAGATTTATCCTTCTATATCAAATCCTTTAAAAGATTTTATGCAAATTTTAAATTTTCTCCCTTTGTTCTTCTAGACATACAGCTCTTATTGATTTTTTTTTTTTTTTCCCCCCCCCCACTGATTTGATTCATACAATAATTGCTTTACAGCAAGCATAGTGAAATGAAACAAAAAGGTTATTTTGCTAGCAAGCTAGAAGGAAGCCACCTAGTTAATGTATAATATCATTGATAGCAGTAGTTGTGTATGGGGAGAGGTTCATGTATCAGCAAATAACTGTAGATGTATAAATGCTAGGGATGTACGAAGCAGGCAGTATTCAATTCAGATTCAGCCCAGTTCAGGGGACAGGGATTCAATTTGCTGATTTGGATCACTGTCCTGATTGGATTCCGCTGAATTGAAATCTGAAGATTCGATTCTGATTTGGACAATCAGCAATTCAGCCATAGACACAGCTTTATATGTTTTTGTTTTGGGATTTTATTATTTTTTTTCTATGGACCTTGAGGTATCAGGCGCGGCTTGTGAACGCTGAGATAGTGGGGCGGATGGAGCATCCCATGGCAGCGTGGGGGCGGTCCTCTGCGTTCTTGGCAGGAGACCCCCGCCCACTCTCCCCGGCTCGGCGATTGGCTGCGGGGGGACACCCAGGAGGCACCAGTCACTGAGCCGGGGGGACAGGGGGTTCCCATTGCACTTGGCCCCACAGCAATCGGCTCCACCATCTCAGCGTTCACGAGCCGCGCCTGGTACCTGGAGGTATGTAGAAATGCATATAAAGCTGTGTTTATGGCTGAATTGTTGAATTGAATTCGATTTGATTTGGAGAGATTAATGGGTCTCTTGATTTGATTCAGAGATTTGGCCGCCAAATCTCCTCCAAATCAAATCAGTGACCGAAACTTCGCACAGCCCTAATAAATGCCTAATTGTGACATACTCTATTTCAAATAGTCTAATGGTTGGGGGGTGTTTCTTAATAGGAAGAAAATAGTAGATTGGAGGACCAATTGCACAAATCTGAAGAAGGATTTTCAAAAAGACTAATTGTAATACAGCAGGTATGAAACATCCCTTAAAAATAAATAAAAAATTAACCTTGAAGCTGTGGGTCTAAACCCACGCCATAGTCATGTTAAAAATATAACTTCTATACAAACAGAAATCAGCATGTGGTATTTTTAGGCTTTGGCAGAAAAAAGTAAGGACCTGGATAAACTGCAAAATGAATGGACAGCACATACTACTTCACTGACTAACAAGTACACCAAGGAAATCACAGCAGAAAAGGAAAAAGTGCTGCAGGTAAGTAGAAGTACTACTTGATAGCTCATGAGAAGCAGCACCTACGTGGCTTACATACAGAATACTGCATGCCTATAGAATGAGTAGTGCTTGACTTCTGAAGGAATTGTTTCCTCTTTCTGAAAAAAGCATTTATCTGAGTGATGGTGAAATATTTAAATTTTGAGTTGTAATATTGCCTGTGGTTTTCATGAGTCTGCTGCATGTTTTTCTTTTCACTAGCTTTTAAGTTGCCTATAAACTGCTGCTTGTATAGTGTATTTACATGACTTTACTAATATCCTTGTTTTTCTGTTTAAGATTCAAACACAGTATCAGCTTCAGCAAGAACAACAAAAGAGAGAGATAGAAGCAACTTACAACAAAAAAGTACATCACTTAGAAGTCAGGGTATCTGAATTAGAAACGGTTAATAAGGACCTTACAGAAAGAAAATACAAGTCTGAATCTTGTATACGGGAGTTGAAATCTAAACTTTCAGGACTTGAAGAGGTATGGTAGATAGTTGGTTATTTAAATTTTTTTTGTTCTTGTTACAAAGAGCATATTTTTGCTTTTTTTACATAATGATACAAATTGTGAATATGTCTACATTTGAAGAGCAAATACTTCTGACATCTAGTCCTAAACACCATCAGACTATTGAAGTATCAGCTAAACGATATTGCTGATGTATGGGGAGGGCAGATTTGCCACAGGCCACAATGTCTTGACCAAAAATTTCTTGCAGTGAGGTCAGAAACTTTTAATAGTGTTCTCAGACTTCTGGACACTAAACTGACTGCACCATGGATAGATACCAGGGCACACTAACATCCCCCCAGTGCCTAAGGACCCTGTGTTGGCAGTAAATTGAGGGAGCCAGATAAGCAATGGGCATAGATTCATAGAAAATTTGGGTTGGAGGGGACTCAGGAGGTCATCTAGTCCAAACGCCTGCTCAAGGCAGGACCATCCCCAATGAGATCATCTCAGCCAGGGCTTTGTTCAGCCTGGCCTTAAAAACATCCAAGGATGGAGATTCTACCACCTCTATAGGCAGCCCATTCCCATGCTTTATCACCTTCCTCGTGAGAGTTTTTCCTAATATCCAACCTAAACCTCCCTTGCTGCAACTTGAGATCATTGTTCCTTGTTTTGTCATCTGCCACCACTAAGAACAATCTAGCTCCATCTTCTTTAGAATCACCCTTTAGGTACTTAAAGGCTGCTATCAATTCCCTTCACAGCCTTCTCTTCTGCAGACTGAATAAACCCAGTTCCCTTAGCCTCTCCTTAAAAGTCATCTGCCCCAGCCCCAAAACATTTTTGTTGCCTTCCACTTGACTCTCTTCAACTTGTCCACATCCTTTCTGTAGTGGGGGCCCAAAACTGGACACAGCACTCCAAATGTGGCCTCACCAGTGCAGAATAGAGTGGAATAATTACTTGCCTTGATCTGCAAGCGTTTGCTTGCCCACTGAGATTGCGGAAGATGGAAAAACCTTGAGGATCCCTGCCAATATGACCAGTATGACCCTCGGCATGTAAGCAAGATGAACTCGGCATGAATCTTTTCGGAGGTACCATCTTGGAGACCTTGTCTACCCCAGTATTATCATATCTTTGATAATTGTGTAAATTGTAAAGTGTAAATTGATGTAGCTTGGTTTCTCAGTGTAGCTATGCGAGCTCATAAAAGCTGAGAACCTGGTCCTTTTAGTGACTTTTAGGATGAGGTCTGTAGGCTCCTTTTGAAAATCCTCAACTTAAGGTAATGTCAGCATTACTTTGGATCTGTACAAGTCCTGCATGTACAGGGGAAAAAAGAAGTCAATGTATCATGTTAATTTCCAGGAAAAGTAATTCCCAATTTAAATACAGTTGATATGGAAATCTTTCCTCTGGAGCATGAGGATGCTGTGCAATTACTGATCCATTATTGTATATTTGTTTCTCAATTATGCAAATTTCTGCACTCTGGCTGAGGGAGATCTGATTTGCATAATTACTGTATAGCTATAGCTTTTGCTGATTAACATCCAGCAATTATCTGAATCCCGCTCCTGTAATTGGCTACTGTTCTGAGTGCCCCAAGTCCATATCAAACCTCTTTTGCCTCAACAGTTACCATTGCTTCATCTATACCCAGATACTAAATGCCATTTAATAAAAATTGCTTGAGGAGGGAGGGTGATATAGCCTTTATGACAGTTGGACATGTTTTTTAGGTTGATTGATTGTTAACTACCCAAGTTTTTCAAAGATTCTGGACCTACATTGCTTGTAAGAAGTGGGATTGTCATTTGCATGTTTTAAAACACTTAAGAAAACATATTTCCAGGCAAACTACTATTAAGCAAGACTAGAAATAAATCAATACATGATCAAGTCAACAAGCTAATTGTATTCCTGAATTGAGCTTATACCACTTAATTGGCTAAATTTATCAAAGTGAGAGCAAAATGATCAAGTCTTATAAATTCTAAGGTTTCAAGGAAGGTAGCTGGATTTATAACCAAATGGACACCTAAATAAACTTTTTTTATCAGTTAATCAAATCTGCAACCTCAAGCTGTTTTAGTCTTAATGTTGTACCCAAATTTTACCTTTTTTAGAGGTCTGAAATTTTTAAAACTGAGAACCAATTGTATATCTTCCTCCTTAGGTGTAAAACTGTGTGTGGCAACCGCCCCGCTCCTCTTCCACTCCTTTCCCCCCATCTCGCCCCCCACAACGAGAGACTATAATGCAGACCTTAACAGTACAGCCTTGATGAGCAGAAATTTGTCAACGTGTAGTCACTAGCAATGGCCAGTGATATTCTAAAAAATTCCCAGGACTTATAAACATATAACATGCTCTAATGAGTATTGTAACAAAACAACAATTAAGGCTATTTTAAAATCTGGAAACTTATTAGCATCTTCCCTGTTGTGACCATTTTGGGTGCTGGGTGGCTTCTGCATGGGCATCTGCACACATTGTACATAAAACTGCATTTTCACTTCCTGCTACTTAAAGAGGAAAGTGCAGCATGCCGGCCTTGCCACATAGCAAAAGCTGACTGCACTACAATAAGCTTGCTGTGTAGGAGAGATGGCTAGGCAGCCTGAGAATAAGTGCTGCAAGCAGCTGGGTTAGGCTGCAGTAGGGAAGGGCAGGCTGGTCATAAAGGGAAGCTGGGGATCCATGTGTTAGGAAGGGGTGGGACATTGGGGTACATAAGCCCAATGCCTGATGCCAAGCGGACAGTCTGGCCTTGTGTGGTCCAGTGAGAGGAGCTCCTGAGAGAGAGGCTACAAGAGGTAGTACCCAAACCATCCAGGAGATCAGGGATGGAAGCTCGAAAGGAAGTATAGCTTGCAGGTGATAGCCCGGAGTAGAGGAGACTTAGTTTGTGAAACAGCTTGTGTGTGTTCATGTTGTGATTTAAGCCTGATACTGGAGGACTGAGTTGTGGCCATTGGCAATGTGTAGGGGGTGCATGCAGGTGCATGTGCACCCCGAAATTGGCTGTGCACTCCCTAGAAGTGCCAGCCAT